GGCTACTCAAATATTTTACGTTTTTGGATACTAATTAACATCTGAAGTATAATTTTTTATTGTTTTTATATTTTTCAATATATTTATTTTGTTTGTACAAAATAAAAAAATAATTTTTAAAGATACAATAGTCTTCGTTAGGCTTAACATCGACGAAAATTCAACGCAAAGCGACATACAATGGAGAAAAACTTCAACATGGGATAGGTTAATATATTTTTTCGTACATAATCGGTTAACCGAAACATTGATTTTCCAAACAACCACAGCCCAATTGATTCAGATAATCGATGCTCTACTGTAATTTTAGCATAATATTAAAGCATGAAAAAGTAATGTAGAATGTCATATGCTAAGGCTTCAAAGTTAACAATCAATAGGAAATAAATTAATTTGTAAATTAGGGCATTAAGAATTAACCCAAAAAAAGTAAAAACATGGGAAATGAAGAAACATTTATTGAAGAGAGAATACATTAGACAAAGCTGCATACAAAAATGGAAACAAATAGAGGAAAATAACATTAAAGATTGATTGTGAAGAGTTTAGACTAACCACTAAAGTAGCCCAAAAAAGAAAAACACGAAAGAATAAATATTTTACTTGATTTTTAATATTTATCATGCATCACCTGCACAGTTGCTGCCTTCTTTTTTCTGTTGAACTTTTCTGTTTTAATTCTTTAGCTTTTACATAATGTTTGCAGAAAATAGAAATTAAACTACACAAATACACTGCACTAGGAAAATTAATATATGCTCTTTTGTACTGTTGACAGTGAGCAGAAGTGGGGAGAAGAGATCAGTTTGGTATTGCTAGCTCTAAGCTCCCTGAGAACAGACCCACATTAATTGAAACCACATGCATTGAGGGCTACCCATGTAAGAAATTCAATTCTTACAATCTGGTGTCACAAAATATTTAACACAATTAAATGAGATGTATTGTGTTAGATATTTCATAGTACCAAATACATACATTGCTTTTTGCTTAGATGCTCTTATGTATATAACACAATCTTCTGT